CTCGTTGTTTTGAGCGTCACTCCTGCGCCCTCCGCTATTTTTGAACGCTGCATCCAACTGCCCAGTAGCGTCCATCACGAGCCTCCTCCACAAGAGCCTGGTTACACACACAACCGCTTACAGGAGCACAATAAACACCCATTAATGGAGTTGGCCAAACATCCTACTGTAGGACCGCAGAGCTTGGGAAATTGTTGGCACTGGTTCTGCCTGCCCTTCCAGTGTGTCTGTGGTTTCCATCACTTCTGAATCATTCTCTCTACTCTCTGTGAGATGAAAACAAAACGCATTACACACAATTAACTATTAAATAACATGATGCACCCCAAACTTACGTTCTAAAGCTGATGATATGGTGGGCACTTTGGCAGAGTGCAACCGCTGTTTTGGAATACTTGAAATTCACCCCAAATGAAGATTATATTAATTTGGCAAATAAATAAAATTACACGATAAGGTAAGTGCTCTGGTGCATCTGGCGAAATCCTCAAAGCTAGTTCCATTACGTCTATGGGTCTCTATGTGACAACTGGAGCCCGACAAAAACATCGGTCGATATTTGGTTTTGTTTTAACATCGTTATCGGCATTTTACGCCACCAATGTTGGTTTGTTTCTCAGTCCGCTTCTCCCGGTGATGGTCGTGGCGGCAGCATGTTGAGTAGTGGCTGTCCACACCTCCCTTTTCCTGGTGATAAGTCTCCAGCACTACATTACTATACACTATGCACTACACTACTATACACTACACTATATTACACTACTACACTATACACAGACTCGAGCTCTTCCTGGGGAATTCCCAGGCGTTCCCAGGCATTCCCAGGCCAGCCAAGCGACATCGTTCCGACAGTGTGCCCTGGGCCTGCCCTGGCGTCTTTGCCCAGTGAGACGAGTTCGATGTGGAGTCTACCGGGACCCAGATGTTTAATACATCATACATAATGAACAAATAAAAACATTGATTCTTGTTCCCGTAAATGTATGTTTGACAGTACATGATGATCATTTTCTTGTTATGGCAATTTTTTTCTCTCATTTACATATTTAGATTTAAGTGTTATGATTTGCTAAGTAAGTGGTGGTTTTGTTTTTGTATCGTCTGCGTAAGAAACCTGCTAATTTTACGTTGCACCATTGTGGGATGGCAATTGCATGAATGACGCTCTGTAAAATGAAATTATTATTTACTAAAGGATCCGGTAGAGGGAGCTCTAATACAAGCGTGAGGTGGAGCAGTTGACGCGTGCACATTCGTTGTAGCACGTTCGGGGTGCTAACAACGCTGTAGGAAAAAAGAAAACAAAAATCACGACGTTTCGGCCACAACACAAGCGGCCTTCATCAGGTGAAGGGACCAGACTGTCTCGAGCGCTGTCCTCGATTTTTGTTGTTTTATTTTTTACCTACGTGACTTTACCGACGTGACTTTACCGAATAGAACCAAAGAGTATGGATCCTTGCAGTTACGAAAGCTTCAAATCTAGAAACGCTGTAGGAGTGCGTGTACCCATCATGACCTCACCAACTCTTCCCCAGGACATCAATCTCTGCACGTAGCCTATTCCATTTCGCTACAGGACTCGGGAACTGAACCCTGATGTCTGAGTACCGCCAGACTCTCCCGAAATAGTTTAAGTTCAATTTGGAAGTATTGTTTTACGATATATTTTTATGTTAAATCCGTAAAAAAAAGTTCCTGATGTGTGTATTCTTATTTGTTGGTGTGCTCGTTCATATGATCATTTAAGTGAAATGTTCTCAAGTTTTTAAAGTTGAATAAAAAAGATTTTTCAAACTGATTATAAAATGTAATTTTTTTTGTTATGTCAAATATCGGTCGATATATTGCCAATTGATTGACTGGGACTTTCTGAAATCGGTATCGGCATCGAACCCAAAACATCTGGCATCGTTCGGGCTCTTGTGATAGTTGTTTTGGCATGAATTACGTGAAAATTATTAATCTGGGAAAAAAATATTGTTTAATCCTGAATGAGAGATTAACATTCCACGATGGTTGAGATGATTAGTTGCAGCCATGAGGCTGAGGGTTCGTAATGGTCAGGTTAATACTGAGCCAGGAGCGCTGAGACCCTGGCTTCAAGCCCTGGGTCTGGCTCTCTCTGAAGGTTCATAATGACTGGGTCAGAAACACTGAGCCAAGACTGCTGAAATCCTGGGTTCAAGCCCTGGGTCTGGGTGTCTCACTCGTGTTCATAATGGCTGGGTCTAAGATAGTGAGCCAACACTGCTGAGATCCTGGGTTCAAGCCCTGGGTCTGGGTGTCTCTCTCAGGTTCATCATGGCCAGATTAAAGCGGCCTCTCAGAAAAAAACACCTCGATCGAGACGAACAGCATCGCACCTCCTGGCTCAAACATTCCTCCTCGCAGACACTGGCGGTGCGATCATCAGCCGAGTCAGAACATCGCCAGGAGGCCGTTGCGTCCATCTCCCTCGCCAATGTAAAGTTAAAAACGCGAGCCACAGCAGTGCGACTGTGGCCAATGCAACCCAGACTATGTACAGTGAGTGCAGTGTACTCACTGTAAGTCTGCGCTCCGTCAACGGAGGAACAGCAAAACGACACGAACTCTGTCTGCTGAAGGTCTCCCGTCGCGAGGAGCAGACGTTGACGTCGGCATTTAGTTCCTGAACATATTGCCAGACACAAGAATGGAACGGACTGCGTGAGGCTATTGGTCTAAATGCGTCTCCGTGCAAGTGTAGGGCTGTCCACACAAGTCGATGGGTCTCTAGGCGAGTCTGGGGATATCTCTGTGAGTCTGAGCATCTAGTAAATAATCTGGGTCAGCATGTGGGTCTCTATGAGTCTATGGGTTTCTAAATAGGTACAGTAATTGGTATCAGCGCAGAGACCATCAAATTGCCACACGTGAGAACCCGGATTAATCACGGTTGCGCAGTTTGATTCCCGCATTGGAACCTGGGATCTAAGCGAAGTTAAACACAACACAGGCCTGCAAAGTGAGGGACATTAAGTCGATCAGTTGGGGACTGCGGGTCTCTATGCGAGTCGAGGAGTCTCTACGTAGGTCAAAGAACTTGTGGCCGAGTGAACGCAGTGGGTGAATGAGAAAGGCAATTGAAGGGCCGACTCAGGCACTGCATTGCAAGTCCACTCTGCCAACACGCGTTGTGCGGTGGGTAAAGTGTCGGGACTCTCTCACCTTTACCCAAGGATGTACTTGCCGACGTGGAAGAGTAGGCCAAAAGCAATAAATACACCTCCAGAAGCGCTTCTCCAGAGCTTGCTCTCGTCGTACCCGTCCTCCAGCAGCGGCGAGAGCGAGCACTTGCAGGGCTGCACCTTCACCCCTCTAGTGACGAAGTATTTTGTACACATCCCGTCAGCCACGCGGCCTGAGTCGACCCAGAGCTAGGGGCCCAGGACCGTCACCAATGACGGCCACGACACCCGGAAGAGGAACGTGGGCTGCCATGACGTCACTCACCCACGTGGCCGCGCGGCGCCGGAAGTTGTAAAAGGGGGCGGGGATCTCCGTCTTGACGTCACCGTGACGTAATATCCAACGACATCCGGTCTCGGACCACGTGCCCTCAATGTTCGAGAGACACGTGGAGGAGACGGACGCAGAAGACAGCAGCTGAAGCCACTCCGAGCGAATACTCGAACAGGTGAGAGTGGAAGAGGTGTGGGGAAAGAGCAGCAGAGTGGGAACGAATCAGAGTGAGACTTGGTTACACTCGGCAGCTTCATGTGTTAAGGATGTGATTTTGTGTTCATGATGCAAGTCCGTGTTGATGATGTGAGTCCGTTTTGTTGATATGAGTTTGTGTTGATGATGTGGGTCTGATGATTTGGGTCCATGTTAATGTGTGTATATAAATAACGGAACAGTTAGACTTCTCCACAAATATGTATGTCGCCTGATGAAACTTGTGGTAATTATGGGCCTTCCATAAATGACGTCACGCACCTTGGGGAGGGGGGGGGGGTCAGACATTTGTGACGATGTGTAACGAGGCGGGAGGGGGTTTGAGAAATGTGACGCCACATTAAAATGCGAAACTTTTAATATAGGCAACACATTCTACTTAATTAAATAGACTTTTTAATACATGTTTTCTCCTACAACATCAGTGCACTACAATGACAGTTTAAAGCGATTTGAAGCATGTTTATATATTTTTGGGGGTGGGGGGGGCAGAGCTTTGTGACGTCATATTTGAGGGGGGGTCTGACTTTTTGTGATGCCGTTTGACGAGGGGGGGGGGGGGGTCAAAAATCGTCCAAAATCGCATGACGTCATTTATGGACGGCCCCTTAGTGGCTAAACGTCGTGCTCAAATTGTAAATGTTGTGGCTTGGCTCTGCAACGCACCGGTGTTCTGTACTAGTGACGAATTGGCATGTTCTGTTTAAGTGACAACCCTTACTAGTTGTCTGTGTCGGGTGGTGGCGGGTTTTAACGACACATTTATATATTTAACCCAAAAAACCCTCTATTATGGATGATATTAGTCGTGAAAGCCTACGTGTTAAACTGTGTTTGTGTTGATGATGTTGGTCCGTGTTGATGATGTGAGTCCGTGTCGATGATGTGGGTTCGTGTTGATGATGGATGTCCGTTTTGACGATGTGGGTTTGTGTTGGAGCTGTGGTTAAATCATGGGATGGGGGAGCATAGAAGTGCAGTACAATGATGGATTTTGCTGCTCTGTCTCACCCCATACTCACCCCTCTCAACCTCTCGTGATAGCTATCCCTGTGGGTCACAAGGTGGCTCAGAACTTGGTCTGCAAGTGGCCATTAGTCTGCCAGTAGAGGGCGATGTGCAATCCCAAATGAGTAATTATATAAATGTTCAGGATTTCACGATATAGAGATGTGAATCTTATTGAGAAATGATCGTAGACTGTGTACGACCCTAGACTCGTCTCCCGCTTTCCTCACAGAAACCCAGAAGGTGTGAGACACAAACACTCTACGAAACTTGCTCTGCACGTCGCCAACATGGAGGTACGGCTCCTCAACTCGCGTGGTGATGTATGGGCGAATATGTGATTCACGTGCCTGTGTTCTCTACTCTCTCTCCTCACAAATTCTGCCTGGCTGTGTGTCTACCTGCCTGTGTCTAGGTATCAAACAGTGTCTGACTGAGATCCTGTCTGTGTACCTGAATGTCTATTTTAACCAGAACATCTACAGCATTTTTATCTCTCCACTGCTGAATGAAGGCCTCCCCAAGCCGATGACACCTCTAAATATCCTGTGATATAATATTCCGTTCAGCTCCTGCTAGCTGAGATGATTTTATCGCTCCTTCTCCAGTTGGACGATCTCTCGGAAGTGCTCCATTACTTGGCTGTCACTGTTATTTTCCTTGACCATTGGTCAACATCGCTTATTGCCACAATGTGTCCTTTTTATTAAGAGTTTGACTGTTGTCATTCACCTGCGTATATTCTCTATTCCATGTGTTCCTCTTCCAAAAACAATCTGCAAATTAATACATTGGGATTACACCCAGTAACATTACGCACTGCTAAAAAAACATGCCAGGACCCTCCTGAATTTGGAAGCGAAGATTTCAGAAATGCTGGCTCAGTGCTCAATAACTGCACTTGCTCCAACAGTTTGTTAAACGCTATATTGTGGACATTTGTTTTTGTGTGTGTAGTCAAGCCAATCGAGAAAGATACAGAGGAAAGACGTGAGATGGAGTGCACTCTCAGACTCACAAGACGGAGCCACCATCCAGTGCAAAACCCCGCATGGTAATAACAATTATGGGGAACATCATATCAGCCATGTTGCATTGGTGATGTCACATCGGCCATGCTACATCGTGGAGTGCGGATGTGACGGCGGCAATGTTTCATGGAAGATGTCCTGGTTGCCATATTCTAGAGGTGACTTTAAGTGAGCCATATGGCATGGGTGACATCGTGCTGGTTTTCTTGTACGGGTGATGTCAAGTTGTCCATTTTTTACATGGAGGACATTGCGTCAGCCATGTTGGTTGGGGGATGTGAAGGCAGCCATATTGCATGGGTGCTTAATTTTGCTTTCAGCTGATTGGCAGCTGATTGGCCTGTGTAGTGGAAGTGTTGCTGTAATACCTAGCAACCGTGCTTATAAAAGTGAGAGTTACCATTTAAATACAACTCACATATTTACGTAAGTCTGTTTTCTCCTTCGTTGTCAACCAGACTTATGACAAAATGATTAATTTATTTCCTATGTCCCAATGTGCTTTCACACGGCATCTAAAGTTTGGACAGCAAGGTGTTACAGTGGTAACACAGCAAGAAGGCGTGGGTTTGATTCCTGACTCGGATGTCACTGCATGTTGAGTTTATGTTCTCGACCTGTTCCGCACGAGATTCCTTCAGGGACTCCAGTTTCCTCACGTAAAAAAACAAACTGTTACTGTCATTGGCCAAACTTTAAAGACTTAACAATTACCAGCAGCTATTCAGTTCTGATTACACCATCAGCCCCTATTGTAATAACTCGGCAAGAACAAGGCTGTCCGTGGAAAACCTACTTCCGTTCCTCCCTTAAATAAAAGCCATCTCTTCTCCCTTGCCCATCCTACTGCTACTCTCTGACTCTGTCCCTCAGCTGCGATCAAGCCTACCTCAACCCATATCACTACCTCGACCCCTATCATCACTTCTATCACTACCTCTACTGCTGCTCCCTAACCCCCGACCCTCATTCAAGACCAGGCCTACCCTCACCCCTCCTTAACCTCTCATGCCTGTTCTGCTGTCACCATACCTACACCACCACTTTTAATAACCCTGCTTTTTGTCTCAACTATTATCATCTTATGCACAATGTTGTAATTGGTGTAATGCACATTGGAATAAGGCGCGATATGAATCTAAGATAAGAAACAAGCATAGTAATAATAATGTATTAATTATTGTTTTTGTTGCCATTTCTGCAGAAATTTTGCAGCTCTACGGCAGCTACCTGAAAGAAAGTGAGCGAACAGAGCTCTTAGCCATGCAGGAGATATGGTACTTTGGGCTCCAAAATCAAGCTCGGGGCTTCTACAATAATGGTTACGATGATGAAGACGACAATTATATTCCGGTAAGGCACTCCACAAAATACCCGCCTTGGAGGCGATGCCATGGCTCGGTGGTAGTGGGCTTGCTGCTCGTTGCAAAAGTCTGTGGAATAAATACGGCAGGCCACCCTGGTTATTACTTCGGGTGTCATCATCATCATAAACATCGTCATCACATTCAGCATAATCAACTGCACACGGTATCATTATCGCGTTATCAGGTACACCATCATCAACGACAATGTCCTCACACCACGGTGTTGTCACACACTCGTTGTAACTGGTATTGGCCAAATATATCAATGCTGAAAAATTACCTGCATATATGCAGTTGGTATTTGATGTCAATGTATTTACTCTGGAAATACACTTTGATTCTGATAGCAACATTGCCATTAAATTTTCAGGACGGTTCTGACAATTTATTGCAGTATTTAGCGAGGTTGCTGTGTGTAAAACCAATTGATCAATTTGCAGGTACGTTTTCAGCATGGTTGGTCATCACCGGTTACATTGTGAGTGTTTATTACCAATGGGCAGATTTCAAAGAACCAGCATGTAAGCCATGCAGAACAAGGGGAAAGCATACAAACTCTACACACTCACAATTTTCTAAAGAGGGGTAGAAAATAACTCCACGCAAAAAGAGACTGAGCTGCACATTTAACCCAGGCCCTTCGTGCTGTGTGCCAAAAGTGTGTTGAAAATGGTTATCTAGCATGGCAAATGAGCACATCAAGTCTTGTCTTCACCCTTCACTAGAATTGACAAAGCTCGGCTACTTCAGTAACTCGTGCTCCTTGTCACTGCATGGATTAAGTCTCTCTATGCGTTGTCTAACGAGCACTGATTGAATGAGCCTCAATTGAATCGGCACTTAACCACTGTGTGATTGTTGCGCAGGTTAAACACGAGCACCTCAACTTTCGGTATGAGGTGCTGAAGATCATTGGGATGGGCGGTCAAGGCATAGTGATCAAGTGTCTTGACCACAAGACAAACACCCTGGTGGCGGTGAAAATCCTGAGCATTCCACTGAGGTAAGACTCCACACTGGCCCATGCCATAATCAGGCTGATGTTATTAACGTGACTAAAAGGGAAGGCAGGGTGGCACAGTGGTAACATTTGTGCCGCACAGCATGAATGGCCCGAGTGCCTTTCTGAGTTTATATCTCCATGTTTCGCATCGGTTTACTCCAGATTTTCCAGTTTCCTCTCGAAGATAAAAAAACCCATACAATTTAAGCAGGCTTACCTAAACATCCCAATGCTGAAAATTACAACCGAATTTAAAGTAACATAGGCCCCTACCCTGAAACTACTGCAGGCTGTGTCTGTGAATCATAGCACCTCTCTTTGCGATAGCCTTGAATTTTGAGAGCCATATTCATAGTCGCGACCCAATCTTTTATCATGAATATTAATTGGCGGATTCATCTTAACATACAAAGGATCTCAGAGCTTGGGAAATTGTAAGCGCCAGCTTACTGCTTGGCTGCCTTCCCACTTGTATGTGGATGCTTACGCATCTGAATAGGTCTCTGTCTTTGAGAGTGTACATGGTATATAAGTCTACATTATTATCAATAATATTTAATTGTGGACTATGTATTTGCAGCGCCAATGATGACAATCTCCAGAGGAGGGAGATACACATTGGGATCCAAGTTCAGGCGGGGGACACCGACGACTGCAACATCATCAAGATGTTAGATTGGTTTCAGTTCAGAAAACACTACACCATCGTCTTGGAGCTGTTGAGGTACGTACCACGTGTCAGGTAGCATCGTTGCGTTGACGTGCTCTTGCGACAATGTGTCGTTTTAAGACTAAACTGGGACACATGTCGAGCTGGAAGCCATTTTCGTTTCTCTGCTAGCCCTGCTCACTTTTACATAGCCATATCCTCTCAATCAGTTGGTAAAATAAAACGTGTATCGTTTCTAATAAATACCCAACGTGACTGTCCTTGGCTAATCACCCCAATGGCTGAATTTTACCGACACGTTACTAAATTGGGATAATGCATAGCAGCAACATCGCCCCCTCTACTGTCAAAACTTGGCAGGACCCTCCTGAAAAAGAGGCGTGAGGATGTCCTGTTTAAAGCATAATAATCTATTGTTATTATATGAATCAGAACATCACCGAATGGCACCGACTTTGTATTGTTGCCTCTTTCACAGCGGAACCCTGGATGACCTGATTCGTCGCCAGAATGCCGAGCCCCTTCAGATGGAGGAGGTGAAAATATTTACAAAGGGGATCCTCAAGTGCCTGTCTCACCTCCACGCGAAGAAAATTATTCACGGTGACCTCAAGCCTGTGAGTGGACACAGTGTTTGGCGGAACCTCACTGTAAACCTGGAGAAAGCCCCAGCCACATTGATCAAAGGGTTTTAATGTATTAGCTATGTTCATCTGTCTGGGATGGGCGGTGGGGGAGTCATGGTAACTCTGATAAAGATGATCGAATGTGAAGCAGACTTTGGCCAAAGTTGTGTGTTGCTATTACTGACTTGGCTGAGAAAGAAACAATTGGCGGACACAAACCAGGAGAAGAAATAACTCCAGTAATTCTCTGATTTATGTCTTCCCCTTTTACATTGATTGGATATTCGTCATTACACCTTTTTGGAACGCATCCCCGAAGGAACCTGGGGTATTACTCAATTTGCAAATATACAAATTAATTTTAGAATCAGAAGTTTATTTTCCAAATTAAGCCCATTGAGCTATTAAGCTCCTTTTTAGGGCGACTCATCAGCCTCCATCCTACTAAATACATTATTTCCAAGACAAACGCGTGATGGAAAGTGTTACCCAATCCAAGCGTGTACATGATTTTCCCCAACTTGTTAACATGGACGAGCAGCTTTTAGCTACTTTAGGGTCTCTTTTTACAAGCAATAATCGACTTACATCGCATCTCATCTAACATTTGAAAGGGCACCCCCAGTGGCAGCTGTCGGTAAACATATCCTGTCGTTGCAACTAACCTTTATGACAGAGTCACCAAGTCTAACTCACCTTTCGTAGATATTTTGCAATTTTGGTATATGATCACTGGACTGCTGGATGAATGCTGTTACACCCTCTGTGAATGCCTTCTTTTGTTCTTCATCTAGGAAAACATATTGGTCAAGGACCGCGTGGCAGGGACCATGAAGGTCACAGACTTTGGACACAGCTTCGTTGAGGGCTGTCAAAGTGAGTGCCCTTACCTGAGATTGCTAGTAGCGGTTACCACACTGCGCTATGAACTTAGCGACCCAGGTTCCATTCCCGCTAACAACCACCTACACCAGTGACGATTATCTGAACTCCTCCTGGGCCTGAGTGGCGACTTGCCATCAACTGCCAAGTAGTCTCAAAGTGCACCTTGCCTGACACTGCCCTGTGTCGTATTTCACGAAACTGATCTCAACGCCGCTGGTAACAGTCATTTCCAAGTCCAACCGGCTCGACATCCTCCAATTCCACATGAGCACATCTCTACTGTGACATGGCCCAGCAGTGACATGGCCCAGCAGTGACACCACAGCCGCCACGACCACCAACTCAGCATCAAATGAATACCTGCAGCAAAGTGTAAACAGCACCTTCTGAGAAAGGCGGTAGTGCGTGGTGGTAGCCACCCATCCTGTGTACCGTGCCGGCCTTAATAAGTACTCGCTAACACCACTTGTCCCAACAGTCTGTTAAAGGCTATACGGGGACTGTTTGCCTTTGTAAACCCCCGTGTCTGTGTTTGCGCACACGTATGTACATGTGACCGTGTGTGGGTAATGACGTGTCAGTTGATGCTTTTAAAGGTTAAATGGGGATCGTTGTCTTTGTGATTTTCAGCCTCCGTGTCCTTCGGTACCCTCATGTTCATGGCTCCGGAGGGGCACCTGGGTTACTCGTCCACCTGCTCAGCGGACATGTGGGCTCTGGGTTGCACCGTGGCGGAGATGGCAACCGGAACAGCCATCTTCAACCCCATGAACTTTGATGACCAGTTAGTGTGCTGCATGGAGGTACTGCCCACACAGCACTTCACTCGTGAATGATAATAGATTCTTGGTCATGTAATGATTTGGGAATATTTTTTACCTCCATTTTCTGACACAGCCAAACATAATAAATTGTCGTGCACGCACAAACTTAAACAGCTCCTTGCTGTTTAGGCTCACCACCAGTAATTTGAAGAACAATTCTTCCAATCAAGTTTAGAAATTAATTAGGTTTTACTTGAAGCTACATCCAGCACACTTGCAAGACCATAACTCGTGCATACAATGGCCGACTCCTTTCAAGTAGCGTCATGGGATCATTACATCCACTGCGAATAAAGCAGACGGCACGTCGTAGTTTACGGTTTGTACACATCGCAAGTAAAAACTGGGTGGCTGGATTTGAACCAGGAGGCAAACGTGCTACTTCTGGGCCAAGGCATTACCACTGCCCTGCACCTGTGGGAGAACCGTGGGGAGTGGTAGCGTAGTGGTTAGTGAACTGTGCTACCAACCTCGTGACCCGAGTTTGATTCCCGCTTACCACCAAGAGTGTTGACGAATCCCTGAAATGGACATAGGCCAACAGCGTTAAATAATAATGTGGCGTTAATAAAGTATTAAAGCTTTCGTGACTGCATAAAATTACTCATTGGTTTTTTCGGTAAAGTAACGTATGTAGAAATACGTGACTTTACCGAAAAAACCAATGAGTAATCATGTGGTGTGTCAAGTACCTATTGCTATGGGGCCCATCCTCTAGTGTGCCGCATTGGCCTTAATAGGTGCTTATTAAAGCACTTGCCACAACAGTCAGTTACATTTATATGCGGCATCTTTGTTTTTTGTGTGAACCGTGCGTAGGTCCTGGGGCTGCCTCCGGACGACTTGGTGAAAGCTGCTCCTAGAAGAAACAAATACTTTAGTAAGTTGAAGGGACAGGCTGACTGGATTACGTTTGAGGGGGTGCCCCAGAACTGTTATATTTTAGGGGGGCTATGTTTGCACATGGTTCGTAATAGATTTTCTGGCAAAACCACGTAATGATATGACCATTTAGGTCCTTAAGATCCTCCGACACCCGACATAGGCAAACAAATGAAAGTTGAATGTGTAAAGTGTTTCACGAGCCAACTGTTCTTCTTTTAGCTTAACCACCCATAAATATTTCAACTTCGATTTTTACAACCAACTTTCGCAATTAGATGCAACTTTTCACTTGAAACTGCGTCAAGCATCATCAGGGCAGGATGCAAGAAGTCGGACTGAAATCCAGGCAGTTAGCCTTGAAATGCTTGTACATCTGACATTCGGGTCCTGCAGCAGAAAATGTGGCTCAGTCATTAAGCGGCCTGACCCAAATATCGATAATGAATCGTGCATATGCTCCTTTGTCGTACCAACACCCATGCCAGATGATGCCAAACATTCGATTTAAAATGTATGGTTTATTACAATAATTAATAGTAATTCATAATAAATATTATGATTATTACATTTTGTGTGCCATTATTTTAGCATGAGATGAGCTAGAATTAAGGTGCTGCTGTATTTTAGACAGTTTGCTGTAGTTTCACAGTATTGGGCGATGTTCCATTACACTTCTCATGGAGTAATTTTCAGTTTCATTTTTCACATTGGGACGCAATGGCCGACTATTTTCTAATGACGTCGCGGGATCTGGAACGTCCACTGTGAAGCAAACAATGCGAATTTTGGTATGGTTAATACACCCTACAAACTTCTATAACAAGCAGCAAAATTGCTACCGCTGGGCCATGGCATAGTGCTACAACATCGCACTGTTGCGGCATCGCTGCCGGTGTGCAAGGGCTACGTAGGTTGTGTGACTGTTTCTCCTGTCTGTGCATGCTACCTGTAGAATCCGACAAGCAGCCAAGGATGTTTGGTTGCCATCGAGTGCCAGGGAGACGCCCGCTCTGCATGCTGCTCGCAAACTACGGCCCGGAGTTTGTGGACTTCATCAGCAGCTGCCTCCAGTAAGGGCCCCTCTACCCCACGAGGATTCTCGCATCGGTCACTCTGCTCTAAATGATGAGCGACCGCTCTCCTCCAGCAAATAGCTCCATCCCTCTCAAGCAAAATCAGAAGCCCTATCATTGCATATACTTACATGATCCATATACTTACACAGAGACCTAGACTCTTATCATCTTCGAAGTCAAAAGTCCACAATTGCTCATGTCCGCAACCACGTCCCTTGGCGTTTTCCTCTTGGCTAGACCGCAAAAGCGCACGGGAATGGATGAAATGTGATATACGGTGGTTTGCGTTGCCGTAGAATTTAGGCGAGCGCCCTGTGCAATGCAATAATGATTTCAAGGTCGAACAAGGATAATAGATAGAATTGGGGAATGTAGACCACTGCTTTTATTATTTTACTGACGTTTGCTTACCTCGGAAAGCTTCAGTGAGCCTCAAGACTCTTTTTCAGGAGGGTCCTGCCAAGTTTGTGTAGTGGGGGGCGATGATTTCTACGTACAGTCATACCTCGGTATACGACCGCTGTGGCATATGTCGAATTTGGTATACGTCGTGTTTTGACGAGAAAAAAATGTCTTGGGATACGACGTCTTGCTTGGGATACGACGCGCTTGCTAGAACTTGTATGGGTCGGGATAAGTCACCGCGTACCCGCGTATACCCGATTCACGACTTAAACAAAGCGCCACTCCTCAGTCCGCCTGTACAGTAGATCCATGTGCATTTTCACGTGTTTTTTTTATCATTTTAACGTGAATTTTTTGTACATTCATTCAACTCCTCTCAGCAAGGTAAAGTGATGTTAAATTTTATTTTCATTTCAATTTATTTCAATTTATTTATGCATTTATTTTGATTTATGTATGCATTTTAATAATAAGTAGTGTCTAAATTATTTAATACAACCCAAATTAACGTATAATATGCCATATAAAATATAATTTATTATACTCTGGAGCGGATTATTTCATTTCCCTTTATATCTTATGGGAAACATTCGTTTGGTAGACGTAATTTTCAGTATAAGTTCGACCTTCTGGAACGAATTAACGATGTATATCGAGGTACCACTGTACATTCAAGTCGAGTAACTTGAGGGGTGCCATGCTTCAATGTCACGGTGGTGTCAGATGTAACACTTCCGCTTTAGTTTGAAGGTGTCGGTGGGCCCACACGGTGAGATTGGCCGTGGACCCACACCCCCCTATGGACGGCCCTGCTTACAAGCAGTACATTCTTTAGTATAATTTTGACCGTGATGTCAGCATACAATGGCCTTCTCTTGCAAATTACATGACAGGATCTTTAACATTCTCTATGAAGCAAACAGCGAGTATTTTTACGGTTCACACACCCGCTGCATTAACCAGGACGGCCACTGGATGTGCACTGTGACCCTCTGCAACACACGGTAAACAACGCGCTCATGCTGGGCCCCGTCACTGCTGGGCCATGTCACTGCTGGGCCATGTCAAAGTAGAGATGAGCTTACGTGGCATTGGAGGATGTGGAGCTGGTTGGACTTGGCGATTAATGTTACCAGCGGCGTTGAGTTCAGTTTCGATAAATACGACACAGGGAAATGCCAGGCAAGGTGCACTTTGAGGCTAATTGGCAGTTTGACGGAAGTCGCCACTCAGCAACAACGGAGGGTGGAGGAGCAACGCTCACAACGAGCAGAGCACCGAGCGTCTAATACGCAGCAAAGTGGCAGAGTTGGGAGCACAGGTGGTGCATCTGCCATTGATCACAGCAGCAAATGGTCAATGATGATGATTTTGGTGATCATCACCAAAAGTGGATGACTGCTACTACTGCTGACATTAGTTCTTGGACCCGGTGGGAGGATACGAATGTAAACCCTCCAATCATCATCACTCACGGCGTGTGCCGCGTCTGTCTGTGTGTCTCAACAGATGGAGCCCGGCTTTTCGGATGACACCGGAGCAGGCGCTGGCACATAAATGGCTGCAGGATATCGGCACGGGTGAACCCGGGCAACCCGGAGCAGCTGCAGTTAAAACCACGGCGGCCACCATCACCGTCACCGCCGCTGCCACCACTATCACCACTACAACCATCACAACCACTGTTGCCGGCATCACCACCACATACACCACCATCGCCACTGCATCCATCACGGCCACCACGGCCGCCTCCACCACCACCGCTGCAACCACCATCACGGTCGTCGCCACCGCTGACCTGGGACTGGTCTCGCTGTGCGACAGGGAAAGCGACAGAACCTCTGCAGCCGCTGTGCAACCGTAAGCCGCTCTGCGTGTGTGTCCTGTGTGTTTATATTATTACTTCTTAGCACTTTCATTAATTACCAAGGAAAGCCCTACTGTGTCTTAAGATGCTGTGAATGTTGCAAAGCAAGGTGAAAATGCAACGGGGATATTTCACGCACGGATGACCGGGAGTTGTGACCTTGTAGAGTAATAACAAACGATAGACGGGATATGAAATGGTGTCGTGTCTGTCCCTTCACAGGTCAACTCCTGCGCAGCCCTCACTCACCCTGGCCTCTGCAGAGAAGACGGAGATTGCGGAGGAGAGCATGGAGGAGAAGACGGAGTTGGTGGAGGAGGAAGGGGAGGTTGAGGGGAAGGTGGAGGAAGAGGAGGAAGAGGGGAAGGAGGAGAAGCTCGAGAAGAAGCTGGGGAAGACGGAGGAGAAGACGGAGGCCAAGACGGAGCTGCTCGTGCGGGAGATGAGAGAGCAGAAGAAGAAGAAGAAGCGGTCGCGACTTGCTCGCGTGGGACGAGCAATCTGCTCTTTCTTCCGCCGCCGGCTGCTTTGTGGTGGAGTGTCCACCGCAGAGTAGCCATGACGACGCAAGGGGTGGTGATGATAGATGTGTATTAGTATCATCACCACCACGATCACCACATACACACACACACTCCACCCTCTTCCCATCCCAAGATATACATACACACAACACACACATACACACCGCATGCCCACATACACACCACACGCCCACATACACAACACACACACATACTACACACACATGGGCTGCTAGGCCTTGCCATGGCTGGTCATCCGGGTTTCACAACCCAGCCAACCCAGCCTCGCTTGCCAGAGGAACTCATGAATGTCAAGAACTTTCAAGGATCTGTGAGTTCCTGGAACTGTAATCCGGCCTGGTTAATCCCAGGATGGATCACAGGCAGGACACCCTGAACGTTGCAAAATGGCGCAGACGATCCTTGGGAGCAGCCAGCGCCGAACCAGCAGTGGCACAATGCTCATCAGCGGACGCAAGCGATGAACCAGGGGACAATTGCAGCCAAGACACTACATCCCACACACACGCACACACCATACATTATGATTGTTATTGTAATATACGTTGTAAAATTTACTTGTAAATATACATTGAACAATGTTGCCTCGTTTGCTGGTGTGGCCTGGGTTCAATGTGTCTTGGCTTGTGTGAAGTGTCTTGGAGAAGACAGGTTGTGGAGGAGAGCATGGAGGAGAGGACGGAGTTGGTGGAGGAAGGGGAGGCTGAAGGGAAGGAGGGTGTCTGTTTTTGTCATTGTACAACTCTTGGAGATGCAATTGTATAAAGCTTAGAGAAAATGTACTATCTTATATTATATAAATTTATACAGCGCCTTATTCATAAAGAATTGATGGCTATTATAAAATTGTGCGTACCATGATAGTGGTTTAGATAAATAGTGGGGTTATTAAAATTTGTGGTGTAGTTATTGTGACAAGAACAGGCGGGAGCGGTTAAGGAGGGGTAGTGATAGGAGTTGGGGTAGTGATAGGGGTTGGGGTAGTGATAGAGGTTGGGGTAGTGACAGGGGTAAGGGTGGTGATACGGGTGTTTATAGAAGTTGGGGTATTGATAGGGGTTGGGGTACGCCTGGTCGTAGCTGGTGCGCCGAAGTAGCAACAGTATGATGGGCTCGGGAGAACTGTAAAAGTTTCACACGAAGGCACTCTCGTGTTAAATATGAACTAAGACTCCCACCCCCGCGTAGACTGCTTCAACTCGTACATCGACTCCCATCACTCAGCAAAGCCACACCATTGTTCACGACCACCACGCGCAACCATCACCACGCGCACGCGAACTGCGTGAGGATGACAACTGCACGGCATTCACCACCATGATCGGGATTTTTGGGTCATGCTGGCCAACACCCCCCCTCTTTCCCCCCCGTGTGCCATGCCAGCCTCCATATAGGTGCTGCTCGCTAATAGCACTTGTCCCAAGTCTGTAAGGGCTATACGGGGCATCTTTGTGTGTATGTGTGCATCAATATCCTCCAATCTCATCCCGATCGTTCCATCGGTCTCACGTAACCAGACGGGAGCGTCATTTTGGAATTCGATATGATTATGCTGGGTTACCCAGGAATCCCTCACGGAGCTGAGACTCCGGACCATCTCCGTGCCCTTCAGCTTTTATTCTCTGTGCTTCGTCAGTGTCCGCATTTCTGATTTGATTCACGTTATGCAGATCTCAAAATGTAAAAAAAACCTGGTAATTTCTTATTTCATCTTGCAGGAATCAATTAGTTTCCCAACGATGGGAAGGCAGTACTACAGTTCATCAATATATCAAAAAATATCCGTCAAACCTTTGGCAATGAAAATATTGATTACACAGCTGCATTAAGCTTTACATGTGTAATTAAACCTCCAATCATTGTAATACAAAGACAATATCCCCTGTAGAGCCTTAACAGACAGTTGGGGCAGGTGCTGTTAGCAAGCGCCTATGATGGCCCGCACAGCACACGAGATGAGTGGCAAGCACCACGCCCGACCGCCTTTGTCTCCCCAGTGGCGATGTTTACACACAGCACCAGGTACTCATTTGAGGCTGAGTTGACCTAGAGAGAGTCCTAGCATCAGTTCAGATAATCATCACTGCTGTTGGCTGTGAACGGGTATCTAACTCGGGTCGCCGGGTTCTTAGATCCGAGTTAACCACTGCACCACTGCTCCCCCATACCTTGTAATAACGCACATTATAACACACCTCAACTGAATTATAAGACGCAGCCAATGCAAGTTGTACAAATATTCTGACACAACTACAGCCCCCATTCACGACTATGTGGCAGTGAGATCACCGCAGCGCCTGTGCCAGGCTACGTGCACGTTGTAGCCACGTGACGTGCCGAAGGCCCACTGACAGATCATGAAACAGACCAAGGTGTTGTGGGTTAACTGACTGAGATGGCAGGCAGATGAACCACCTGTGCTCCCCACTGTGCCAACTCGTTCAGTTTTAGCCGCCTGGAGAGCCTCTCGTTGTTGAGAGCGTCACTTTTGCGCCCTCCGCTATTCTTGGACGCTGCTTCCAACTGCCCAGTAGCGTCCATCAAGAGCTTCCTCCTCATGAGCCTGATAAGACACACACTCGCTTACAGGAGCACAATAAACACCCATTAATGGAGTTGGCGAAACATCCTACTGTAGGACCGTAGAGCTTGGGAAATTGTTGGCAGTGGTTCTGCCTGCCCTTCCAGCGTGTCTGTGCTTTCCAGCAATTCTGAATCATTCTCTCTGCTCTCTGTGAAATATAAACAAAAGGCATTACATGCAAAAAAACGTTTCAATTTCATTAATAGTTAAACTACCATTTTAAAGCACAGGGGAAGAAACGTGAGCCTTATAATTAGAACGATACGGTGGGCACTTTGGCAGAGTGCAAGGGCTGTTTTGGAATACTTGAAATTCACCCCAAGTGAAAATTATATTAATTTGGCAAATAATGAAAATTACACGGGAAGGTAAAGTGCCCTGGTGCATCTGGATGTCTGGCGAAATCCTCAAAACTAGAGCCCGACATATACATCGGTCGATATATATATTTTTTAAACGTCATTATCGGCATTTTATGCCACCAATGTGCCACGATGTTCGTTCGTTTCTCAGTCCGCTTGTTTTGGTGAGGGTCGCGACGGCAGCATGTTGAGTAGGGCGGTCCAGACTCCTTTTCCCTGGTGATAGACTCCAGCACTACATTACTCTACACTACTACACTATACACTAAACAACTATACACGACACTTTTATACACAGACTCTAGCTCTTCCTGGGGAATTTCCAGGCGTTCCCAGGCCAGCCGAGCGACATTGTCCCACCAGCTTGTCCTGGGCAGCCCTGGGGTCTTTGCCTAGTGGGACGTGCTGCCCGGGAGAGATCCGAGGAGAGTCTACTGGGACCACGATGTTTGATACGTTAAAAAAATGAATGAAAGAAATATATTCTTTTTCCTGTAAATGACAGTACGTGATGATCATTTTCTCTTGGCCATTTTTTCTCTAGTTATTTATCTATTCATCTTTTAGTTTTATGATTTGCTAAGTGTTGGTTTTGTTTTTGTATCGTCCGCATAAAGGATCGCTTAATTTGATGTTGCAGCGTTGTGGGATGACAATTGCGGAAAATGAAAATATTATTTGCTAAAGGATTCGGTAGAGGAAGTTCTAATACAATCGTGAGGTGGAGAAGTTGACGCGTGCACATTCGTTGCTAGCACGTTCGGGATACTAACAATGCTGTAGGAGTGACCCCATCATGACCTCACCAACTCTTCCCCACGACATCAGTCTCTGCACGTAGCCTATTCCATTTCGCAACAATACTCGAGAACTGAACTCTGATGTCTCAGCACTGCCAGACTCTGCCAAAATAGATTAAGTTCAATTTGCAAGTACTGTATTGTTATTCTTGGTTCTTTCGGTAAAGTCACGTAGAAGGGAAACAATAAAATAATAAAAATATAAACCAATTATATTTTTATATAAAACAATTAAAACAATTATATATTATATAAAACAATTATATTTGTATTATTTTATTGTTTCCCTTCTACGTGACTTTACCGAAAGAACCCAGAATATGAATCCCTGCAGTCACGAAAGCTTTAAATCAAAACTTACTGTATTGCTTTTCAACTTTTTTTAACGTTGAATCCATTAAAAAACAATTGATGTGTGTATTTTAATTTGTGTGCATGCTCGTTCATGTAATAATTTAAGTGAAATGTTCTCAAATATGGAACGTTTAATAAAAATAGAGGTTTTCATGTTGATTAAAACATTCAGCATTTTTTAAAACACAAAACATCAGTTGATATATTGGCAATCGGTGGACTCGGACTCTCCGATCGGTATCGGCATCGAACCCAAAACAGCTGGCATAATTCGGGCTCTTGTAATCCGGTTATTTTTTTATGAATTACGTGAAAATGTTTAATCTGGCGAGAAAAAAACATTGTATAATGCTGAATGAGCGATTAACATACCACGATGGTGAAGATGTTTAGTTGCAACCATGAGGCTGAGGGGTCGTAATGGCTAGCTCCGTGATACTGAGCCAGCAGCACTGAGAACCTGGGTTCAAGCCCTGGGTCTGGCTGTGTCTCTCAGGTTCATAACGGCTGGGTCAGATACACTGAGCCAACACTGCTGAGAACCTGGGTTCAAGCCCTGGGTCTGGGTGTTTCTCTCAGGTTCATAACGGCTGGGTCAGAGACACTGAGCCAACACTGCTGAGATCCAGGGTTCAAGCCCTGGATCTGGATGTCTCTCTCAAGTTCGTAATGGCTGGGTCCGAGACACTGAACCAACACTTTGGAGATGCTAGGTTCAAACCCTGGGGCAGGGTGTCTTTCTTGGGTTCATAATGGCTGGGTCAGAGAGACTGAACCTACACTGCTGAGATCCTGGGTTCAAACCCTGGGGCTGGGTGTCTCTCTCATGTTCATAATGGCTGGGATTGATTACACCTGGCCACAAACGGGTATAAGGGTGACCGCGCAAAGCGCAGGGAGTTCTCTCCCAACACGAAGACTGAAGCCCGGGCTGAAAATAATATGCCATATAAAATATCATTTCTTATACTCTGGAACGGATTATTTCCTTTCCCTTTATTTCTTATGGGACACATTCGTTTGGTATACGTCATTTTCGGTATAAGTCCGACCTTCTGGAACGAATTAACGACGTATATCGAGGAACACTGTACATTCAAGTCGAGTAACTTGAGGGGTGCCATGCTTCGATGTCACGGTGGTGTCAGATGTAACACTTCCGCTTTAGTTTGAAGGCGTCGGTGGGCCCACACGGTGAGATTGGCCGTGGGCCCCACACCCCCTATGGACGGCCCTGCTGACAAGCAGTACATTCTTTCGTCTAATTTTGACCGTGATGTCAGCACACAATGGCCTAATCTTGCAAATTACATGACAGGATCTTTAACATTCTCTATGAAGCAAACAGCGAGTATTTTTAGGGTTCACACACCCGCTGCATTAACCAGGACGGCCACTGGATTTGCACTGTAACCCTCTGCAACACACAGCAAACAACGTGCTAATGCTGAGCCCCGTCACTGCTGGGCCATGTTACTGCTGGGCCATGTCAAAGTAGAGATGAGCTCATGTGGCATTGGAGGAAGTGGACCTGGTTGGACTTGGCGATGAATGTTACCAGCGGCGTTGAGTTCAGTTTCGATAAATACGACACAGGGAAATGTCAGGCAAGGTGCACTTTGAGGGTAATTGGCAGGTGGACGGAAGTCGCCACTCAGCAACAACAGAAGGTGGAGGAGCAACGCTCACAACGAGCAGAGCACCGAGCCGCTAATACGCAGCAAAGTGGCAGAGTTGGGAGCACAGGTGGTGTATCTGCCATTGATCACAGCAGCAAATGGTTAATGATGATGATTTTGGTGATCATCACCAAAAGTGGATGACTGCTACTACTGCTGACAATAGTTCTAGGACTCGGTGGGAGGAGACGAATGTAAACCCTCCAATCATCATCATTCACGGCATGTGCCGCGTCTGTCTGTGTGTCTCAACAGATGGATCCCGGCTTTTCTGATGACACCGGAGTAGGCGCTGGCACATAAATGGCTGCAGGATATCGGCACGGGTGAACCCGGGCAACCCGGAGCAGCTGCAGTTAAAACCACGGCCGCCACCATCACCGCCACCGCCGCTGCCACCACTATCACCACTATAACCATCACAACCATTGTTGCCGGCATCACCACCACATACACCACCACCGCCACTGCCACCATCACGGTCGTCGCCACCGCTGACCTGGGACTGGTCTCGCTGTGCGACAGGGAGAGCGACAGAACCTTTGCAGCCGCTGTGCAACGGTAAGCCGCTCTGCGTGTGTGTCCTGTCTGTTTATATTATTACTTCTTATCACTTTCCTTAATTACCAAGGAAAGCCCTACTGTGTCTTAAGATGTTGTGAATGTTGCGAAGCAAGGTGAAAATGCAATGGGGATATTTCACGCACGGATGATCGGGAGTTGTGACCTTGTAGAGTAATAACGAACGATAGACGGGATATGAAATGGTGTCGTGTCTGTCCCTTCACAGGTCAACTCCTGCGCAGCCCTCACTCACCCTGGCCTCTGCAGAGAAGACGGAGATTGCGGAGGAGAGCATGGATGAGAAGACAGAGTTGGTGGTGCAGGAGACGAGAGAGCAGAAGAAGAAGAAGCGGTCGCGACTTGCTCGCGTGGGACGAGCAATCTGCTTTTTCTTCCGCCGCCGGCTGCTTTGTGGTGGAGTGTCCACCGCAGAGTAGCCATGACGACGCAAGGGGTGGTGATGATAGATGTGTATTAGTATCATCACCACCACTATCACCACATACACACACTTCACCCTCTTCCCATCCCAAGATATACATACACACAACACACACATACACACCGCATGCCCACATACACACCACACACACGCCCACATACACAAGACACACACGTACTACACACACATGGGCTGCTAGGCCTTGCCATGGCTGGTCATCCGGGTTTCACAACCCAGCCAACCCAGCCTCGCTTGCCAGAGGAACTCACCAATGTCCAGAACTTTCAAGGATCTGTGAGTTCCTGGAACTGTAATCCAGCCTGGTTAATCCCAGGATGGATCAAAGGCAGGACACCCTGAACGTTGCAAAATGGCGCAGACGATCCTTGGGAGCAGCCAGCGCCGAACCAGCAGTGGCACAATGCTCATCAGCGGACGCAAGCGATGGACCAGGGGACAATTGCAGCCAAGACACTACACCCCACACACACCATACATTATGATTGTCACTGTAATATACGTTGTAAAATTAACTTGTAAATATACATTAAACAATGTTGCCTCGTTTGCTGGTGCGGCCTGGGTTCAATGTGTCTTGGCTTGTGTGAAGTGTCTTGGAGAAGACAGAGGTTGTGGAGGAGAGCATGGAGGAGAGAACGGAGTTGGTGGAGGAAGGAGAGGCTGAAGGGAAGGAGGGTTTTTGTTTTTGTCATTGTACAGCTCTTGGAGATGCAATTGTATAAAGCTTAGAGAAAATGTACTATCTTATATTATATAAATTTATACAGCGCCATATTCATAAACAATTGGTGGCTATTATAAAAGTGTGCGTACCATGACAGCGGTTTAGATAAATAGCGGGGTTATTAAAATTTGTGGTGTAGTTATTGTGACAAGAACAGGCGGGAGCAGTTAAGGAGGGGTAGTGATAGGAGTTGGGGTAGTGATAGGAGTTGGGGTAGTGATAGGGGATGGGGTAGTGATAGAAGTTGGGGTAGTGATAGGGGTAATGGTGGTGATACGGGTGGTTATAGGAGTTGGGGTTGGGGTAGTGATAGGGGTTGGGGTAGGCCTGGTCATAGCTGGTGCGCCGGAGTAGCAACAGTATGATGGGCTCGGGAGAACTGTAAAAGTTTAACACGAAGGCATTCTCGTGTTAAATATGAACTAAGACTCTCACCCCCGCGTAGACTGCTTCAACTCATACATCGACTCCCATCACTCAGCAAAGCGACACCATTGTTCACGACCACCACGCGCAACCATCACAACGCGCACGCGAACTGCCTGAGGATGACAACTGCACGGCATTCACCACCATGATGGGGATTTTTGGGTCGTGCTGGCCAACACCCCCCCTCCTACCCCCCGTGTGCCATGCCAGCCTCCATATAGGTGCTGCTCGCTAATAGCACTTGTCCCAAGTCTGTAAGGGCTATATGGGGCATCTTTGTGTGTATGTGTGCATCAATATCCCCCAATCTCATCCCGATCGTTCCATCGGTCTCACGTAACCAGACGGGAGCGTCATTTTGGAATGAATATGATTACGCTGGGTTACCCAGGAATCCCTCACGGAGCTGAGACTCCGGACCATCTCCGTGCCCTTCAGCTTTTTTCTCTGTGCTTCGTCAGTGTCCACATTTCTGATTTGATTCACGTTATGCAGATCTTAAAATGTAAAAAAAATATAGTAATTTCTTTTTTCATCTTGCAGGAATCAATTCGTTTCCCAACGATGGGAAGGCAGTACTACAGTTCATCAATATATCAAAACATATCCGTCAAACCTTTGGCAATTAAAATATTTATTACACAGCTGCATTAAGCTTTACATGTGTAATTAAACCTCCAATCATTGTAATACAGAGACAAATATCCCCTGTAGAGCCTTAACTGACAGTTGGGGCAGGTGCTGTTCGCAAGCGCCTATGATGGCCCGCACAGCACACGAGATGGGTGGCAAGCACCACGCCCAACCACATTTGTCTCCCCAGTGGCGATGTTTACACACTGCACCAGGTACTCATTGGAGGCTGAGTTGACCTAGGCAGAGGCCAGGCATCAGTTCAGATAATCATCACTGCTGTTGGCTGTGAGCTGGTATCTAACTCGGGTCACAGGGTTCAAAGATCTGAGTTAACCACTACACCACCGCTCCTCCATACCTTGTAATAACGCACATTATAACACACCTCAACTGAATTATAAGACGCATCCAATGCAAGTTATACAAATATTCTTACACAACTACAGCCACCATTCACGACTATGTGGCTGTGAGATCACCGCAGTGCTTGTGCCAGGCTACGTGCACGTTGTAGCCACGTGACGTGCCGAAGGCCCACTGACAGGTCATGAAACAGACCAAGATGTTGTGAGTTAACTGACTGAGATGGCAGGCAGATGAACCACCTGTGCTCCCCACTGTGCTAACTTGTTCCGTTTTAGCCACCTGGAGAGCCTCTCGTTGTTGTGAGCGTCACTCCTGCGCCCTCCGCTATCCTTGGACGCTGCATCCAACTGCCCAGTAGTGTCCATCACGAGCCTCTTCCACATGAGCCTGACAACACACACACTCGCTTACAGGAGCACAATAAACACCCATTAATGGAGTTGGCGAAACATCCTACTGTCGGGCCGTAGCGCTTGGGAAATTGTTGGCAGTGCTTCTGCCTGCCCTTCCAGCGTGTCTGTGCTTTCCAGCAATTCTGAATCATTCTCTCTACTCTCTGTGAAATTTAAACAAAAGGCATTACACGCAATAAACGTTTCAATTTCATGAATAGTTAAACTACCATTTTAAAGCACAGGGGAAGAAACGTGAGTTATAATTAGAACGATACGGTGGGCACTTTTGCAGAGTGCAAGGGCTGTTTTGGAATACTTGAAATTCATCCCAAATGAAAATTATATTAATTTGGCAAATAATGAAAATTACACGGGAAGGTAAAGTGCCCTGGTGCATCTGGAAATCTGGCGAAATCCTCAAAACTAGAGCCCGACATATACATCTGTCGATATTTGGCTTTCTTTTTTAAGCGTAATTTTTAAGCATTTTATGCCACCAATGTGCCCCGATGTTCGTTCGCTTCTCAATCCGCTTGTTTTGGTGAGAGTCGCGGCGGCAGCATGTTGAGTAGGGCGGTCCAGACTCCTTTTCCCTGGTGATAGACTCCAGCACTACATTACTCTACACTACTACACTATACACTAAACAACTGTACAAGACACTTTTATACACAGACTCTAGCTCTTCCTGGAGATTTTCCAGGCATTCCCAGGCCAGCCGAGCGACATTGTCCCACCAGCTTGTCCTGGGCAGCCCTGGGGTCTTTGCCGAGTGGGACATGCTGCCCGGGAGAGATCCAAGGAGAGTCTACCGGGACTCCGATGTTTGATACGTTAAAAAATTAATGAAAAAAATGAATTATTTTTCCTGTAAATGAGAGTATGTGATGATCATTTTCTCTTGGCCATTTTTTCTCTAGTTATTTATCAATTCATCTTTTAGTTTTATGATTTGCGAAGTGGTGCTTTTGTTTTTGTATCATCTGCGTAAAGGATCGCCTAATTTGATGTTGCAGCGTTGGGGGATGGCAATTGCGTAAAATGAAAATATTATTTGCTAAAGGATCCGGTAGAGGAAGTTCTAATACAATCGTGATGTGGAGAAGTTGACGCGTGCACATTCATTGCTAGCACATTCGGGATACTAACAATGCTGTAGGAGTGACCCCATCATGACCTCGCCAACTCTTCCCCACGACATCAGTCTCTGTACGTAGCCTATTCCATTTCGCAACAGTAGTCGAGAACTGAACTCTGATGTCTCAGCACTGCCAGACTCTGCCAAAATAGGTTAAGTTCAATTTGCAAGTACTGTATTGTTTTCCTGTATATTTTTTACGTTGAATCTATAGCAAAAATTGATGTGTATTTGAATGTGTGCATTCTCAGTGCCAGCAGCACTAAGAACCTGGGTTCTAGCCCTGGGTCTGGCAGTATCTATTCTAGATTTGAAGCTTTCGTGACTGCAAGGATCCATACTCTTTGGTTCTATTCGGTAAAGTCACATAGGTAAAATAAGGTCTGAGGGTGGAAGTCTGGATGGCGTCCGATTCAAATTTCTCCATGAAAACATTGGCTATCACTGATACCAAGGTTCTTTGCAAACCCACGGGTTTTTATCACAGATTTGTTCACGAGGCAATTCAGATCTACAAACACAGACACAATTTCAACCGAGAAGATGGTTTCAAATTAAGCAACCATTGGAAAGATGTTCTAAATCGAACCAAACATTAAACTAATTTTCAATGGTATAGTATATTTTTTCAAGTAGTGGTACCCCAAACTTTCGCAGCACATGCGGGTGCATATGCACCCACATGTTCACCCCCTCTACACTTTTCATCATTTCTAGATTTAAAGCTTTCGTGACTGCAAGGATCCATACTGTTTAGTTCTATTCGGTAAAGTCACGTAAAAAACAACAAAAAATAAAAAAAAATTCATGACGTTTCGGCCACAACACAAGTGGCCTTCATCAGGTGAAGGGACCAGACTGTCTAGAGGACAGCTGGAGTGAACACACTCCAGCTTGGCTGTGTTCACTCCAGCGCTATCCTCTAGACAGTCTAGTCCCTTCACCTGATGAAGGCCACTTGTGTTGTGGCCGAAACGTCGTGAATTTTTTATTTTTGTTTTTTACGTGACTTTACCGAAAAGAACCAAACAGTATACCTTTCATCATGCTAAGTCCGCCAATTAAAATTTTTCAAGTAGTGGTACCCCAAACTTTCGCAGCACATGCAGGTGCATGTGTACCCGCATGTTCACCCCCTCTACACCTTTCATCATGCTAAGTCCGCCAATTAAATGCTAATTTTTATGCTAATTCCTTTGTCAAGGCACCTTAATCCCTCTCACACAGCTTAAAAGCCGTGGTCTGAGCTTGGCTCTGTTTCACTCCAGCGCAGTCTTCGAGACAGT